CAAAGCTAACTAGACAAAAAGAACAAGCTATTAGAAGGGACTGTTGAGAACAAAAATACTCTGTGAATTTGCATTAAAACTTTGCTACTTTATTTGGTGACTTGTAAAGCATAGCGTTAATATTCCATGACGGCTATGATTTTGGCTTAGATTATAGTTCTGGTCTGCCTTAGAATTTTAAAGCCAAATTTTAAGAAATAATGAAATTTTTTTTTTTCCCAAAGCCAATGTAATTCCACATCATTGCCCAGGCTGGTCTCAAACGCCTTCCTGGACTCAAGCTATACACCTGCCTAGGCCTCTCAAAGAGCTGGGATTAAAGGGGCAAGCTGCTGCACCTCTTCTCTTTTTTTTTTTTTTTTTGAGATGGAGTCTCACTCTGTCACCCAAGATGGAGTGCAGTGGTGCGATCTTGGCTCACTGCAACCTCTGCCTGTCTAGTTCAAGCAATTCCCTGCCTCAGCCTCCCGAGTGACTGGGATTACAGGTGCATGCCACCATGCCTGGCTAATTTTTTTGTATTTTTAGTAGAGACGGGTTTCATCATGTTGGCCAGAGTGGTCTCAAACTCCTGACCTTAGGCAACCCACCCGCCTTGGCCTCCCAAAGTGCTGGGATTATAGGCGTGAACCATTGCACCCGGCCTTCCCTTTTTTTAAAAACTAATTTCAACTTTTATTTTAGATTCAGTGGGTGCATGTGCAGGTTTGTTACATTGGTGTATTAGTTCATTCTCACACTGCAAATAAAGACATACCTGAAACTGGGTAATTTATAAAGAAAAGAGGTTTAATTGACTCAGTTCTGCATGGCTGGGGAAGCCTCAGGAAACTTATAATCATGGCAGAAAGCACGTCTTTACAGGGGAACAGGAGACAGAATGAGAGCTGAGCAAATGAGGAAGCCCCTTATAAACCATCAGATCTCATGAGAACTTATTATCATGAGAATAGCATGGGGGGAACGACCCCCATGATTCAATTACCTCCCACCAGATTCCTCCCATGATATGTGGATATTATGGGAACTACAGTTCAAGATGAGATTTGGGTGGGGACACAGCCTAACCATATCAATGGCTATCTTGTGTGAATTACTTAATAATGCACCTCAATTTTTCTTTTAATTTTTTGGTGTTCTTATTCCCTTAAAATAAGCCTTCACCTGTTTCATGTCATGAGAACATTGTCCCTGAGTTGTTATTTATTGGCTGTACTGTTTTCAAGTATTCTGCATAACTAATTACATAATGGTTATTACCTTGATTAAGTGCTATGTAAGTGCTAACCACAGTTTTTATTGTCATAGTATCATTGGTTCTTTGTTTTCACACTGTTATTTTTGATCCTATGGAAATGTTTGTATACCTCCATAAAACTGTAATGTTTTATATTCAATTAGATTCTCTCACACTTTGACACTGCTGCATCCACTGTCATCAACTATCACTTTGAAATCGATCCTTATTTATTCTCAGCCAGCCAACTTGCATTTCAGAGATTTGATGGGCATTGCTAGAATCTCAGTGTGTCCTATGTGAATTTATTACCTTCTATCCCAATACTCAGTCAGCTCTGACAACCAGTGGAACAACTGTTTCTTTTTTTTTTTTTTTTTTTTCCCCTCTCTCTCTCTGTTTTCTTAAGCTGTGGATTAGCAAACTATGGCCTGCTGCCTGTTTTTGTAAATAAAGTTTTATTAATATTAGATGCCCATTCATGTAAGTATTGTCTATGGCTGCTTTTGCACTAAGGTGGCAGAGTTAAGAAGTTGCAACAGAGACCTTATGACTGGCAAAGCTGAAAGTATTTACTTTCGGGCCCTTTATAGAAAAGTTTGCTGACCCTGCCAGGTGTGGTGACTCATGCCCGTAATCCCAACACTTTGGGAGGCTGAAGCGGGCGAATCATGAGGTCAGGAGATCGAGACCATCCTGGCTAACACAGTGAAACCCTGTCTCTATTAAAAATACAAAAATTAGCTGGCGTGGTGGCGGGCACCTGTAATCCCACCTACTCGGGAGGCTGAGGCAGGAGAATGGCATGAACCCAGGAGGTGGAGCTTGCAGTGAGCCGAGATCGCGCCACTGCACTCCAGCCTGGACAACACAGTGAAACTCCGTTTCCAAAAAAAAAAAAAAAGAAAAGAAAAGTTTGCCGACCCCTACTTTAGACTAAAATTTTGGCATTACCTTTGATTCCTCTGGTATTTTTCAAGTATAGTCTAGCAAGAGAACTAATCTCCCTTTCTTTAATCATCATCATCTTTTAAAAAATCTTCCACATGCATTCTGGTTCTCTGATCCTTTTGCCTAGGGTATTAAATTAATTTCCTCACCTCCTGGCTTCTTTTCCCCTTCTATTTAGGGCAAACAGAAGGTGAATATCAATGTCAAACCTATTGACATTTTACACTCTGTCACCAGTGTGATGTTCTCAAAGTTCCACTCTGCCACCAAAACTTAAGAGATTTCCATACGGCCCACGAAATAAGAGACTCTCTAGCCTGTTAAGATTCTTTCTACAATATAAGCCTCTCATTCTCCCATATACAGAAATTATTTCTATGAATATAATGAAGTGCTTTCCTCCTCCTTGTCTTTGTTCATGCTCTAGCAACTGTTCTAAGCTTTCTCTGCCTCCATCTCCATTTTTCCTACTCCTGTCTTGCCAATAAAATCCTCCTAGATTTCTTCATGAAGCTTTTTCCTGTGTTTTCCTTTCTGCATATTCTTTTTCTCTTCATGGTATGTTAGTTATGCATCTCTCTGTCACCAAGGGCACCTTACTGGATGCTATGCTTTTTATGTTCTTTTATATTTCAAATATTGTAAACCATAAGCTCGCTGAGCGCAAGGCACTTGTCTTCTTCATTACCGTGTTCTGTTACACACACAGTGTAATAATGTCTTAGAGGTGCTTAATAAGTAATTGAATAGCATTATAGGAAGTAAGCTTTTTAAATTTGGATTTAATTATTAGTCATCTCCATCTTTCTTGGATGTTTGGCAACAATTCTAGGTGTTATAATGCAAGTTCTTAAAGCAACTTGATGTTAACTTCTTTGTATACATGGCTAATGAAAATGGAAAGATTTTTTTTGTTTGATAAGGTATTTCACATTTTATACAAGAAAAGTATTTATGTGCAATGATGTGCTTAGTACTGATAAAAAGTAAAACAAGGTGGCAGAGCCAGGCAATAATTCTCTTGGATGTGTTATGCAATCTACCAAAGTCAGATTTGTTTTTATTTTGTTAACAAGCTTTTTCAGGATTCCAAGAAGAAAAATTATATCAAAGTGTTCTAAGAAGCTATTGAAATGAAATGCAGGTGCTGTTATAATAGTATTTTGTACTCCATTCATTTATTTAATCATTCTCTGTACTTCCCAGAAAATTTTGATGTGGCCGTTTATCACAAAGAGCCCAATTTTTTGTTGGCATCTAGTTTTGAATTTGTACTCTTGAAAAAGTTGACAAAGACAAAAAGGTGTGCCAGGCTTAGAGACTTTTCACTTTATAGTAGTAGACTTTAATGTCATACCTACCAAAACTGGGCTGCTAATACCCTTACCTTTCTCAGTTGGTTTCAGAAACCTAGAGGTTGCTTGTAGTGGTGGGAGGAGCGACCCAATTTGGTACATAATACGCAGTGCCCAAAGACTCAGCAATAAAGGTGAACAAAGCATCAAAACACACTCTGAAACCCATATACATGCAAAAGAATTAAAGACTTGAAAATTTAATTTTAAGATGGGCAAAGGATTTGAGTAGTTTCTAGGAAAGGATATAAGTTCTGCTTTTTTCACTACTGTCTTCTAGCACAAAATAAATGTTGGCTGTGTATACACATAACCGAATGAATAATGTCACATCAAACATATTGCTAGAACTCTCTTGAGTAAAGAAAGGCTTTAAAAAAGCCATATATGTATAGTTTTGAACCAGCATTTCTACCTCTTAGTTTTGTGTATACACATGCTATAGTGATACACGGCCTTTCTGTTACCCAGGCTACAGTACGGTGGTGCCATCATCATCAGTGGTGCTCACCACATTCTTGAACTCCTGGGGCTTCAGTGCTCCTCCTGGCTCAGCCTCCAGAGTAGCTGGGACTACTCTGACGTGCCCCAGCATGCATCGCTAATTTGTTTATTTTTAGTAGAGACATGGTCTCACAATGGTGCCCAGGCTGGTTTCAAAATCCTGGGCTCAAGTGATCCTTCCGCCTTGGCCTCCCAAAGTGCTGGGATTACAGATGTGAACCACTCCACCCAGTTACTTAGAATTTATACTAAGGACATAATTACACAACTGAGTGTAGATTTCACATCTAGGTTTCTGTAATCCAGAAATACTTTCTCAAACATTCAAATATGTTTGTATGTACAAAGCACCAGTTTACTTTCCCATATATGCTTGCATGTGTGAGGGATAGTCTGGTGTCTGGACGTAAGCATATGCAATCAACTGTAGCATGTCTCTAGGGAGCAGGACTGAGGAGATGTGCGAATTACTAGCACATAGGACATTATACCTTTTATTTACTCTTCTCTGTTTCAGTTTCTTTAAGTATATTTTACTTTTATGTTGGTCAAAAGACTAGGAAATAGTCTATTAAGTTTTAGGCATATTTTCATTAACATTTAACATAAGTAACCTACTTGAAGAGTTAGCTTGCCTGTCTGGAAAATGCGGTTTTCAAGAGTGATTCATATCCTTGGGAATAAAATAAAAAATAATGAATTTTTTTGTTCTGTAATGAGACGGTAATGAATGGCATTATCAGGTTGGACTGCTGTTGTGTTCTTTAATGCTATGATAAATAGACATATTGTACAGAAGTTTTATTATGTAGTCTTTAACCAGTTGTAAGAAAATCCTGTTTCATGTGAGATAGGCCTATTATTATTTGGAGAACTAATATGCACTAACAACAGTTTCCAAGAGTATCCCCATGAGCAAAGGAATTCACACTGTTTTCTCTTCAATGTTTTAGGAAAGCTCAAGAGGAGAACAAGAAAATCGTACTGGCTGGATGCGTTCCTCAAGCCCAGCCTCGCCAGGACTACCTTAAGGGACTGAGTATCATTGGGGTAAGCTTGTGCCTGATGCAAAAAGAGAAAATCTTATATTATTAACACCTATAATAGCTCCACATTTTATTTTCTATTTGTAGGTTATTTATAAGCTGTGTTACACTTATGGCTGTCCTAAACATATTTTCCATATTGTCCCTGAAACTGTCATTTCTGTGTAACTTTTTCACCTTAGCATAAAAACATGTGTTAGTTTCTCTCATTAAGAAAGAGCAACACAATAAAAAGCCATAGTGTGGAATTTACATCCTTTAATAACCCAGTCTTTGGCTATCTATTACCATCACTTTCCACATCATTACAATTTTTCCACCTTACTCAGCTATTTGCTTTTTGCCCCCAGCTACATCAACGCCTTTTTTCAAATGCCCTACCTCCCTTATACCTACCACCACAAGTCTTGGCTCCAACATGGCGACCTTCCTTAAAGCCTTCTCTTCCTACTTTGTGTAGTCCTCCATAATTCTTTTCTCTAGTTTCTCTTTGCTTACTGTGCACTTACCTGTCATATAATTCTTTGAATAAAGCCCACCTGTCTATTTAAATTGTTAGCCTCATGAGAATAGTTTTTCAATCTTTTTTTAAAACTCTCACCATGTTTCTCTGGCCTTTCCCGTGATACCTGGCACATAGCAGGCACTCAATAAGTGTTTGTTGATTGCCTGAAAAAAATCTTTCCATTCTGTTGTTGGCATACTTTTTTAGGGGGAGGCAGTCAGCTCTGTGAAGTAAGGAGATTACTGTCTTCTCTCTCTCTTGTTCTTTGTAGCCAATTACTCTTTGCCAAATGCCCTCAAGTAGCTGATATTCAGTCAATATTGGTTGATCAAATGATGGTGCTTTTTCCTTCCCAACATTCTACTGAAGCTGTAGGTGATAAACTCAGCAATATTGTTTGTTTAAAAAGGCTACATTAATTTTTAAACAGTGTAAAAACATCATATGCTCAAAGAAGAAGTTTGCATGATTAATTGGCATCTGCTTTGAACTTTATAATAGATTTTTCCTTATTTGATACACTACTGACAGGTTCTTGTATCGTGTTCTCAGTGTAATGAACTTGTTTTCTGCTGTGAAGTCCTTACCCCACTAGCAAATTTAATAATCTTCGAACAAACATTCTCACTTTCAACAAACAGAACCTGAATGTTTGGTAACTTTAGTTTGTTTTCACCATTTGTCTGTTTACATTTTGATTTCTCTTGGTTTAAGGAATGAAATGAATATGGGACTCCCGAGTTCTCTTTTCATGTCAGACTAACTTTCTCTATAAACATAATCCTGCTATGGTAGGGAAATAGGAAACTAGTTGGAAGTCTTTTTTAGAGATGGAATGTGGTAAAAACTTGGAGTTGATCTTAGATTTCATCTCAAGGAATAAAGTTAGAGAACAGCAGACTTTCTTTAATGTGGCAAAAGCCTCTTCACTGCATACATTATGGCAACATTTTTTAAAACTCCATTGTGTGCAGGGAAAAGCGTATGTTAGGATGTGCAGGAGATTCTCCAGATACAGTGTAAGGGAGGACACTCAGGGCTATTAATGTGAGTTTATTTGCCAAAGTCACAACTTTGTGTCAGTCAGTCCAATTTTCAGGGCCGACACAAAGCTGTGACACTGGCAGATAAACATTTTGTTTCTATTTAATCAGCACCTTTGTTGTTCTGTGGTTAACATTCTTTTTCTGTAAACTTCTATTTTAAGTTCAGGGTTACATGCACAGGTTTGTTATATAGGTTAAACACGTGACTGTTGTACAGATTATTTTGTCACCCAGGTACTAAGCCTTGTAGTCATTAGTTATTTTCCCTGATCCTCTCCCTCTTCCCACTCAGTACCCTCCAACAGCCCGTGGTGTGTGGTGTTACCCCCGATGTGTCCATGTGTTCTCATCGTATAGCTCCCACTTAAAAGTGAGAAAGTATGGTATTTGGTTTTCTGCGCCTGCCTTAGTTTGCTAAGGATAATGGCCTGCAGCTCCATCCATAGTCCTACAAAAGACATGCTGTCGGTTTTTTTTTTTTTTTTTTTTAATGGCTGCATGGTATTCCATAGTGTATATTGTGTACCACATTTTCTTTATCCGATGTGTCATTGTAGGTTGATTCCATGTCTTTGCTATTGTGAATAGTGCTGCAGTGAACATTTGCATGCATTTGTTTTTATGGTAGAATGATTTATATTACTCTGGGTATATACCCAGTAATGAGATTGCTGGGTCAAATGGTGGTTTTGCTTTTAGCTCTCTGAGGAGTTGCCACATTGCTTTCCATACTGGTTGAACTAATTTACACTCCCACCAAAAGTGTGTAAGTGTTCACTTTTCTCTATAGTCTTGCCAACATCTGTTATTTTTTGACATTTTGATAATAGCCATTCTTACTGGCATGAAGTAGTAGCTCATTGAGGTTTTGATTTTCATTTCTCTAACAATCAGTGACATTGAGCTTTTTTTTCATATGCTTATTAGCCACATGTATGTCTTCTTTTGAAAAGTGTCTGTTCATGTCCTTTGCCCACTTTTTAATAGGGCTGTTTGTTTTTCTCTTGTAAATTTGTTTACGTTCCTTATAGATGCTGGTTATTAGATCTTTGTCAGATGCATGGTTTACAAACATTTTCTGCCATTCTGCAGGTTGTTTGTTTACTCTGTTGAGAGTTTCTTTTGCTGTTTTGTTCTGTCACATAGTCCCATTTTGTTACCACTAGTAGTCTTTAGGTTTATTTTATTTTGTTCATTTACAATTGGAGAAATAACTTAAGAACACATTTTGAAAAGTGAATAGAAATAAAATCTATATTTCTGTTGACATAATGCAATTATAATTTTGCTTATCTCCTTCAGACTTAACCTTTGCATCTTTTACTTAATTGTAATCTCAAAACTATTTTGTATTCTTATTTTTCTAGGTTATTTCATGAGCTTTGTAACCATTTTAAGTCTGGCATTAGTGTTCTATTGAAGGATATCACATAATTTACCTATTTCTTAATTAGTGGATATAAGAATTTTCTAGTTTGTAGGAAATATACATAATACATTAATGCTCTCACTGGTCATTTATTTTTAATATAAAATTAGTGTATTTAAAAAATTTTCTGAAAGTGGGATCACACTATCATTAACATTTCAGAGGTGTAATTTAATTATATCTTTACCAGCATTAAGTATTATTAAAGTATAAGATTATTATTTGTTAATATCATTTTTGGAGCATTTTTTTCTGTGACAGGTATATGACATTTTATTTATCATCACTGACTTTTTACATATGAAAATTATGTCCACATAAATGAAAATTTTGAAAACAAATTACAAATTAGGAAGCAAAATTATCTAAATTTTGTCTTTAGAGAGACCTACTTTTGAATAGAATTGTTCTGTAGAATTGCTATAAAACTAGAAACCTGCTGAAATATAGTGAGTTACAGTGAAATAAAGAAATATATTTTATACAAAGAGAAAGCAATTCTGAAGTGCAAAAAGAATAGATGTTTAAATTCGGTGACTTGAGAAATGATTTTTAGCAGGAAGGTTAGAATTGTATTGTGTGATTGAGTAAAGAATGTTATTCCTTCACAAAATTTCTATGATGGGAGGATGTTAATAGAATTGGAAGGAAGAACAACTGTAACTGCATTCTTTGCTTTTGCCTTCTGCTAGCCTTTATCTGTGTCACCTTACAGTACAGGAAGAATGTGTCAATTCTGTTGACCCAGGTGAGTAAAATCAAAAGCTTCCATGAGGTGGGGATCATTGGGTGAGCAAGCTACTTATTGCATATCTGAGTTAAAGGATTTTTATCGTACTTACCCATGTTTGAAAGTGCTCATAGAATAGGCATTTAAGAAGATATTAATAAAGAAAGAAATTACTACCATCATAACATTTGCATTTCCATCAATATCAGCCTGTAGGAATGGGGCATTTATTTTAGTAAGCAGAATAAGGCTGTGTGGTGAGAATACATGGTAAGCAGTTATTTGACCTCTGGGCCTTTTATTATCACCTGTCCCACTCTCCCCTGAAATCACCTAGTTGTGATTAATGTTATTCGTGTGGTGGTGCGTGGAAAGAAAATAACAAAACATCAAAACCAGAAATAGAGCTTGTCATCCTCTGGGTCCAGGTGCACTGGCTTTGGTGGTCGTAACCTCTGTACTTCTCCCATCTTGGGGCAAAAATCTGTGCACAAACCTGTCTAATTTCTTCACAATGGAAGAGAAGAAAGAACAGATTTGAAAACATAAATGTCTTGAATAAAAAGTTTTAGCCAAAACCTTTTTCTTAGCATGAAGTGAAGTTTAAATTTTATATCTAGATGATTTATATTTATCAGTGACCAGTATAGATCAAGATCTTTTTGTCTTTTTTCAGGCTCTTGAAACATTTCACCTTACAGTTAAAAATTGCCTTTCTCTTTTAACAAATAGTTATGGTTAATCATCTACCTTAGAGTTTTCATGCAAGGCCATTTTTATTACTGCTATTTGTTTATGTCATTTATGTTAGCTGTTGATAGTTTCATATCTTGTGAATATACCTGTTTGAATGCTTCTGTTTTTCTTTTAGGCTACTTTGTTGGCAGAAAGTTTCTTTTAGATTAACCAGAAAATAGGATGTTCTCTTAACATTTGCAGTAAAAAAAGAGTAGTAGACTTTAGGCATCAGAAAGCCTGGCTTCAAATCCTAGACCTGCCATAACATTATTTCTTTGGTTCATCAGGTACTTACTGAGTGTCTACTATGTGCTTGGTGTACTGTTCTAAGCACAGTACTATGTAGGAGCTGGGAATGCAGCGGTCCCAGATCCCTGTCCTCACTGAGCTTACATTCTGGTTCTTAGAGAGAGACATCTGGTTTGAGTCCAGAACTTCTCCAGCTTTCTAGAGAATCTAGTCAGATGGGTCCCTAGACCGTAGTGAGATCAATTAGTTGGGAATATCTCTTTAAGGCTCAGATGGAAATACGCTTTGTGTCTGCTGGTTGTGAGTT